GTTGCTAAAATTAAGCAGACTATGGTAGGGGACTCCAAAGATGGTCCTGCCAGCCTGTGATTCGCACATTTTATGATCACACACAGGTGGGCATGTATTGTTCATATATGCCAGTTTATTTACTGTTTAAGGTCATGAGACTCTTTTCAACACTTCCACAAGATTGCTCCTGAGTTAGGTCTCCTGTAGTATTTTTTTCCTTGAATATGCGGAGAGCTGCATATCATTGCATTATCTAAAGACTGAAATGCATGGGTAGATCAAATCCACCTGCCACCACACTTATATACACATGCTCAACTCACATTTAGCACACTGGATGCACACCTAGCACATGCAGTTTATAGTTAGATATTTGCTTACTGAGCTGTTTGGAGCATTGACATGGTATTCAATTTTTTAGTAAACAACTCCATTTTTCACTAGTTGCTTATTTTATTTTCCATCGCTCGAATTTCCACTGTGCTCATAAATATGATTGATTTCTTGCAGGCCATCAATGGTCTGGATTTTCATCCTGAGAGTCCAATACTGATATCAGCTGCAAAAGACAATACAATAAAGTATGCTTATCCTTAATGTCTACACTCCTTTCTGTTAAATTGTCTATTTGAAATGCTCATACTGGGATTAAGCATGATTCTTATTTTTTAGGATTTTTTTGTGGTATTAATTGCTATCTGTGTTATTGTTTTGTACATGAAAAAATTGCTCAACAGATTCTTTGATTTCTCAAAAACCAATGCGAGGAAAGCGTTCAGAGTTATTCAGGTTGTAAATTCTAGGAATCTAATCTATGTATATATCATGTAAAATGGCGTGTTCATTGCATTTAACCAGGCTCAATTGTTAATGCTTGGCAGGATACTCATAATGTTAGATCTGTATGTTTTCATCCTTGTGGGGATTACCTTTTAGCAGGTACTATGATCTTTTCACTTAATTTAAATTTAATTTCTACTTCTGTTGTTATTAACTGATTCGTGATTTCTGACATCATTTTGTTTTGCTCTGATTTTTATGCATTATAAGTTTTTAACATGCTTTCAGTTGTTATCTGTAAAGTAATTTAATTATTTCACCAAAACAATTTGATATCCGGGCCCATGAATTTGGATTTCGTTCCTGGATCAACAGTTCCTTTCTCTTGGGCATTTGAAAAATACTGCAAGCATATCTTATGGAATTTTCTTCTTTCTTATAGTCAAATATTTTCATCCACATACGTATTTTAAAAAAAATAACTCATTTTTCATATATTGATGAATATCGTGGAAGCAAGTGACACTGATAAAGTTATTTGTAGGGACTGATCACCCAGTTGCTCATTTATATGATATAAATACTTTTACATGCTACTTATCAGCAAATGCACAGGATTCTAGTTCTCCCATTAACTAGGTAGCTTTTCTCTTTCCTTCTGATTCACAAGCATTATATTGCATTGGTTATATTCTCATCAAAGGTTAATTTTACTCCGCTAGCCGTGCTTACTGATGTCGCTGCCAGGCACGCTACTCTTTGTACTGGGAGCTTGTATGTTATCTGCTTCTAAAGATGGTTCTTTGCACATTTGGGATGGAGTATCTGCTGAATGTGTTCGACCTATTCTTTGGAGCACATGGATCCATGAAGCTACTAGCGTAATTTTCACCAAAGATGAGAGGTAAGCGAGCTACCAGTCTGTCTAAGGTGCTCTTCCCTCAAGATAAGATCCAGTTATTGTTTGGTTTGAAGAACAGAGAGGCAGGCATATGCTGTATGTTTGATTCAAAACAGTAACTACCTCAAACCCTGTTTGGAATGTGAGAATCTTGTAGTAATTCTGAATGATTTGTAGCATGTCCTGGTGAATTTCCTGTGTTTCAGATAGGTCTTAACTTTATCACATGAATAGCAACTAACAGCTCTTTCTCCTTTGCCCTAATGTTTCACCACTAAACAACTAACCTGCCTATAAGCACTTTTGAGACTTCTTCTGAAAGGCCTAGTGTTTATTCTAGTTGTATTTACTTGCTGTGATTTTGTGAAACCAGTGTCAAAATGTTTAGTGTGAATTGGTGTACTTCCTGGAAATGCTTAAATATATGTCAGAGTTGAGAAAAGATTGTTGTTACTTGATTTGAATTATATATATATATAATATATATATATATGGTCAGATTTGAATTTGAATTATTTTTTTTTTTGCTAGAAAATCCACTGTAGGGGCGGCTGGTGATACAACCGCCCTTACAGAAGTCCATTATAGGGGCGGCTGATATTACCAGCCGCCCTTACAGAAGTCCACTATAGGGGCGGCTGATATTACCAGCCGCCCCTACAGAGGTCACTGTAGGGGCGGCTGAAAACACCAGCCGCCCCTACAGAGGGCACTGCAGGGGCGATCAGAAAACCGCCCCTACAGAGACACCCTCTGTAGGAACACCCTGGGAAGGGCGGCTGGCGTAGCCGCCCCTACAGAGGCTCTAGAGCCGCCCCAACAGTTAAATTCTGTAGTAGTGCGTGACGCTGCCGGTCGTCGATGAAGAAGCTCTTGGCGTCCCGGCACTAATGCGGTGCCGCGGAGCATGGAGGAGTAGACGGTGACGGACACCGAAGGTTGCGGTGGTGGCGTCGATGGAGACCGTGCCACTGCCAGCCGGTGGAGACTCTCACCAGGATGTACTCCACGCCCACCTGGCGGCGATGAAACAATCGGCATCGCGGAGTCGCGGGATCGCACGACGACGAAGGCAGAGCGACGTACTAAACTAATGTCGCACGATTAGACGATCTTAGTTTCTTTCTTTTTATTGGTGGGAGATTGTAATATTCAGCAGTAATGTCATATACACTTGAAACTGGATGCAGCCTCTGAAGTTGCAATTATCAGCAATACCTTTTGTGCATTCCATTGACAATAGTATTACATAACAATTATCACACTTGCACAATTGCAATCTTTACAATTCCTTTACGGTCACAATTTGTATAGGTTGCTAGCACTTGCACAATTTACAGGTCTGGGAACACAGTTTAGTGTTCTTCCCATTTCACTGACCACCAACGTGCCCGGGCATGGAGTGGCATCGCCTGCAACCACGAAGCCGGTCGTCGCGGTGGCGGAGAGGAATCGCCGGCGTGGTGAGGAGCGCCGCCAACGCGACCGGCCACGAGACGGCAGCTTCCGCGGCGATGAAGCTCATGCACAGTGGCGCGCAGGGGAGCGCCGCCCGCACCAGCGATGTGGAGAAGCAGCTGAAGCCCCATGCCACCAGATCTTGCAGGGAGTGGAGGGGAGCGCCCGCGAGGTGGGGAACTGGCGAGCGTCGCGCTGACGGCCTGGCGAGGACGGGCGCGTCGATCTGGCGACCAGCAACGGCGGCGGAGACGACGAACGAACGCTCGTACGAGTTGCGCAGGGGAAGTCGCTTGCTTGGGCTAACATGGGCCGGCTGCAGGCCAGTTAAATTTGTTCGTTCAATAGTTTTGGAGTCTCATGGTTGGATCTTAAATGGACGGCTATGATGATCAACTGCAGAGACAAGTCCAGGAGGCCAACTTTAGAGGATCTGATTCCGTCCCACCACACCACTCCCTCGCGCTCTCGCACAGCTTTCTTTTTCTCTGGCCGCCGGCGGCGTGTCGGCTCTGGCCCCCTGGCTACCATGGGGCGTCGAGGCCGCCTGCCACCATCGACGTCGGGCCTCACCTCCGTCTTCCATGCCGACGAGGACGAGCTCTTTCCGCTTCACAAGCGCACCAGCGTTGCCGTGGCTCCCGCCGGCCGGAGCCGAAGCCCCTGCGTTGAGCGGCGATCGCGTCTTGCTGTGCCGGTCGCGGTCTTGGTGGCGGCCGTGGGGACGGGCTCCATCACGAGCCGAGCCGTGTGGCGGCGTTAGAGGTCCGACCATGCGCGGACGGCCGCGCGGAACCCATGCACAGCGATGGCGGCTGGCGAGGTCCATTCTTTGCCTCTCTACGATGATGGCGCGCGGGGACGAGATCGTCTTGCCTGTGGCGGCCGGGGCGTGGAATGGGTTTGGCCGCTGTGCGTGGAGTGCCAGGCGACGGGAAGAGGAACAGTTGCAGTGGCGACGGGAACCATCGAGAGACGGATCGATGATTTCTGGTCATTATGTTCCACCTTGCCATGGGAGGCACATCAATTAGTGTTGCAGCCAACGGAATCTAGTCCGGATGGTCTAGCGCTCCTGCGGCACCCTGTTGGCCAGGGATCGAACCCCCTCAGGGGCGATCCCCTCGTCTGCCCTGCGTTTTTCAAAGCACAGGTTGTGGACCGGCCCACGTACAGGGTTACAGGGTGCGGTCAGGGTATGAGGTTTAAATGGTTTTTCTTGATCTACATGAGAGGTCTACTTCTTAAAGTGCAAACCTCCATGCTGTCTAACCATCCGATGGTCGAGTTTTTTTTTTCAATTGGTGTTGCAGACTTGCTTTGAATTGTTTGGTTTTTGCACATTCGAAATTGTTTTTTTTTTCACTAGTAGACTAGAAATGGATCGTGCAAGGCGTCTGTACAGCCGAGCCAGGTGCGGAGAGAAGGGAACGTGCGAGAGCCTGCTGCCTGCGTGTGTGAGCAGGCCACACAGCGGACAGCACAACAGATCGGCCACCTCCTCGAATCCGATGGCCGTCGGCGACAGCGCCACCGCCACCCCACCGGTGGCCAAGCTCTCCATCTCCGGCGCAGCCCTCGCGGCGCTGCTGCACCGCTGCGCGGCCGCCGCCGGCGACTGCGACGGCCTCCTCTTCGGGCGCGCCGCGCACCTGCCCCGCGCGCCGGCCGCCCTCTCCGACTACGACGACCCCGCCGCGGCGGGGGGCCCCGCCCGCCCCCGCGCTCTCCATCTCCGTCTCCGGCCACTGCTCCCTCTCCCACCCCTCCTCCCTCTCCGACTCCCTCGGCCGCTTCCACCCCCTTCCCCTCCTCCTCCCCTTCCCCAACCCCCATCGGCTTCTTCTCCTCCCGCCGCCGCACCGCGCTCCGCCCCTCCATGCGGGAGGCCGCGCTCGCCCACTCCCTCTCCCAAACGCTAGCCTCCGCCCACCCGCTCCTCCTCATCCTCGTCTCCCCCTCCGCCTCCCCCAACCACTCCACCCACTCCTACGACTACCGCGCCTTCCTTCTCCTCGGCGGCCGCCTCGTCCCGGCCTCGTTCGCCGTCGTCAACGTCGGCCCCGGATTCCGGGACCAGTACCACGCCTTCACCGCCGAGTCGCCCATGCCCTGGCTGCCGTCGGCTCCGGCGCCAGGGCACGCTCACACCATCGGGGAGCAGAAGGCGGTGGATGAAATGGTCGACGGGTTTGGGGTCAGGAGGCTGCAGGGGGTCCTCGGCTCTGCGGCGGGGCAGGCCGCCGAGATGGATGAGATGTATGCAGGGGTGCTCAGGAAGCTGGAGAAGCTCGCCAGGGAGGTGGAGAAGAGCAATCTCCGTGTGCTCGAGCAGGTCTGATTATCCAATCCTGTGATTCCTGTCTGCACTGTTGATGTTCATCGCACAACTGTGCCTCTGTGTGATTCATTGGCTTAATAATTGCTTATACTGCCTTGTGCTAGAATTGTGCATTTGTTGGATAGAGAGACTGAGAATTTGTAGTGGTTTCATTCTTGCATTGTGGGTTTTTTGTCAATGTGGGAAACTTAGATAAGCCTTGGATAGCTGGGTTTGATTGTAACTATAATTCAGGTTTTCGGTTGCCAAAAGTGTCTTGTAACGGTAGATTCGACCATTTAACAGAAGGCGGATATAGGTTCCACTCAGCATTCACCATATGTTGCCTGAATTCTCCCATTTACTCCTTGTTTTGAACCAGCTCCATGCATTAGTATAGAACTATCCGGTAACTGGCTAGGAGGCAATTGCACAGTTGCACTATCTATTAGATCGCTCTTCATTTCTTTAAGCAAAAACTGTTAGAATCTTGGTGGCCTACAAAGCCACATCAGATGGGCATCGCAGGCCTGCAACTATTGTATTATTTGATTGTATTTGGCAAGATACGTCACCAACTAAAAGTTGGGGAGGGAGGGAGGAGAGAGGAACCAAGAATATCAGTTCCAACATGCCATAAATGGATGGCACAAAATGGTGTTTTGGATTCCTTAGTTGCTTAGGTCTGTTTGAAAATTATTACAACAGTTGGATTGTGACTATAATCTATATTTACAGTTGACTAAAGCCCTAAACTGGCTTGTCATATCAATTGCTTCCATTTAACAGTAGCCTGAATATCGAAGGCAGATTGCCTGAACTCCCCCGTGCATTCCTTGCTTCAAATCATCCATGTGCATTGGTTTGGAAGTTTCTGGTAACAAGCTAAGGAGCACTACCATTAGACAACTCTTGTAATTTTTTTTCCTTTTGGCAAGGAATAACCCTTGGAATCTTGGTAGTTTATTAAGTCATATCAAATGGGCACCGGGGGCTTGTAACTACTGTATTATTGATTGAAGGGGGGAAAGGAAACAAAAATCTCAATTCTAGCATGCTCAACAAGAATGACCCAAAATGCAGCAGCAAGCCTGTCCACCTATGGATTGTGTTATAGAGATCATCAGATAGGGTTGTACCGTCTAGAGGGACTTCCAATGTTGGAAAATGGGATGGTGGCTTATGCTGGGCAGCACCATAAAAATGTTTGGTGAGGTTGTGGCGATTGGGGTTTGCTAAAACATCTCTTGTGAAGTTTTAGGCTTGCTGCTTTTCTTCATGACAAGCAAATGCAGTAGATGGTGAGTTGAGGAGAGATCGATGAAAATGATAAAGGCCTATTTATGTAGTTTCAGACTCGTACTTGTTTCTATTTGGTTGGTTTGTTACATATGGGAAGCACTGTTTACATTTGGGACCCTGTGAAAATTACCCCATAAGCTGGCCTGGTGCAGTGGTGAGAGCTGTCTCACTGAGTCACCAGGTCGCGGGTTCGAAGCAGCCTCTCCGCAGATTTTGCGGGGGGAAGGCTTGCCTCGGTTTTTCCCTTCCCCAGACCCCACTCATGTGGGAGCCTCCGGCACTGGGTCTGCCCTAAGCTGGGGCTTCTTAGGGCCTATCTGTCAGTGTCAGGTGCCAAATTCTTAAACTACCATAAGTACTTGCTCTCTGTTATACGTTGTTATTAAAATGACTTGGTCTGAAAACTGTAAAGATCAATCCTTTGTTGCATAAAAAAGTTGGAGCCCTTATACTCTGATCAGATTTTTATTTATGGCCCCCTTCCCCAGTTATTACTGAGTGAATAGTGGACATCTGCTCATCAGTTGTTGATATCTGTCCTTTCAGTCCATTTTCCAATTGCTTTCTGAAGTCCATTCCCTTATCCTTTATTCTTATTCTTTGTAGGAGAAGCGGAACCTGGTGCTGAGGTATAAATATGCTGGAATGGAGTAGGACCAAAGTGTCTTTGGTCTTAGCAAGGTATATATGCATCCTTACTGAGTTTTGGTGTTTTGTCAGACCTTTTCTTAGTGTGTCATGCAGATTTGTAATGACCTGAAATGTTCATTAGTAGTTCCAAGTCGCACTCCTGTTTTGGTAACATTATTTTTCATGTGCCCTGTATTGTGTTGTGACTGACTGCTTTTGTTAGTCTGAAGATATCTGTATCATATCTTTCTGAATTTTGACAGAAATGGCTGGAACACTGGCCTTCATATTAGACCATGGATAATAAAAAAAAACTCGACCTGCGGGGGGTTAGACGGCCCCCGGGTTTTCTTACTAAGAAGAAGATCTTCTCACACAGATCGAGAAAACCCCCGAACCCCCGCCCCAATCCTGACGCAAGAGGTGCCGTAACCCTGTGAGAACCGGGCCGGAGCCTTCCACTGCGCTTTGGCACATGGGGACGGGCGAGGGGATTTTTTTAACCTCAGCCTGAAATCCGCTCCCACGGGGAGTCGAACCTAGGACCTGAGAAGTGCCGCTGGGTCACCTAACCGTTTGAACTAGGCGCCCTTTGGCTTCTGGTAGAGTAGAGTATCCTATTGGAAAGTTATTTTAATCTACAGTTGTTGGGACTGATTTAAGGTACTTAGGCCTATGACCGGAAGGTCCCGGGTTCGAGTCGCGGTCTCCTCGCATTGCACAGGCGAGGGTAAGGCTTGCCACTGACACCCTTTCCCAGACCCTGCACAGAGCGGGAGCTCTCTGCACTTGGTACGCCCTTTAGGAACAGCACGAACCATGCATTCTGAAAGGCTGCAGTTCACTGCTCTCTTAGTGCATTAACTAGTGTATGTCGGTCTCACCCTTTGTGCACCAGGATACCTGGTGCTGACCAAGGCTCTCTTCTTGAAAAACATCTGTCCATTTTGCTCCTTGCACATGTTCCACCATACGTAAAGAATGGCACCCTGCTTTATGTTTCTACTGATCCCTGGGCTTATGCACCTTTGGCGTCCTATTAAAACTAGTATGCTGCTACTGCAGCTATGCTAGACCAGTGTGTTCTCGTTTGTTCATCACTTCCTGCACAAAGCTGCACTTTGATACCAGATGGTGGGGCATCTGAAGCTCCAAATTATGGAGCTCGTGTTCAATCCCTACCATATTTTAGTTTGACTAAACAGCACTGCCTATCTACCTTCCATAGCTGAGTTGTGTGATATGTTTCTTTTTCTTTTTTTTCTTTTTTTTTTCTCTTGTGGAGCATTGTTTACCTCCTGTGTTTGCTATTTCCTCTGGATCCGTTACTATCGTATGTGACCTGTCAGTTATGTTAGTGGTAAATTATGGAAAGCATGTTGTGCCTCTTGAGATTCTGATGCGCTTAGTTATGCAGCAGCTGTACTACTAGTTTATTTGCTAGTACCTACTTGACTTGTGCTCCATAAGAGGAGCTTTGATCCTGTTTGATATCTTGTTTGCAGCTCGTGGATACGTTTGTAATAACTATTATAATTACCATTTGGTAGCTGATGGTTGTTTTCCAACTGGTTTGCAGGGGTACTCTGTAAAATCTATCATTGAATCGGAGGGCTCCCAACTTAGGAGGTGATAATAATGCGCATATTAGGAACTGCTGTGTGCGCGCCTGGAATGTGAAAGTGCCTGTAGCGGTGATGTAAGATGGTGCGAAAATTTTCTGAATGTAATAGCCTAGTAGCTTTCAATCGTGTATGCTCAACTTGATTTCAATCTTGTTTCATAAATCGTATATGCTCAACTTGCATATTTGGTAAGATGGACGAGGAGGTAGCAGGTTGGTTAATTTGCGTGTATGTGCATCGGCACTTACAATATACATATTGGACCTCCCGAAAGCTAGCTGTCCAAAAGTAGTGGCCAGAAGATCTACCAAATACTAGTACAGTGCAGGCTATGTATATTGACAGACAATACATATTGAGTTGTTGGCGTGTGAACAGAAGAAACTATCTTTACTAGCATGCACGCATACCATAAAGTTAAATTAAGACAGACTGGTCCTCTCTTAGGGAGTAAAACTGAAGGTCAAACTTGCTACTACATTAAAGTTACACCACCATGGAGGGTAAGATTCTGAGTACAGAAGGAAAATAAAACGGTATGCCTAGCTTCGATAAGTTCGGACGCCTGTGCCTGCTTCATGTGGTGTCCCGTGCCCGTACCGTGTCTTGCGCTCCGCACCGTGGCCCACGCCACTTCGTGCCCCGTGCCCGCACCGTGGCCCACGCGCGCTTCATGTCCCGCACCGCTCCTTGTTCTGCGCTCGTGTAACACCCTCGGTGTTAGACTGTAAATCATTTACTAAAACATGTCATGGGTATCATGTTTATGCGCTTTAAAATTCATGCGTGTCACTGTCTCGAGCGGTCTGGTGCTGTCGGCGCGGTCACCGCGCGGCCTTCTCACGCTGCGCACATGGCAGCGTCCCGTGCGGTCAACCGTGCCGCTGCGCTTGGCCGATCGAGCCACCTGGGCTTGGCCGAGGACGGACGCAGCGAGCCGCTGGGCCCGCGCTCTGCTGCTCTACCTCACGCTGTCGTCTTGGTTGCCGCCACGGCCACGCTGCGCTGCCATCGCGTTCGCCACTGCTGCCTCGCGTCGCGACACTACCGCTACAGTCGCATCATCGTCGTGTCCGCGCCGGTCCGCTGCACCTCTGCGCTGTTGCCGGCCCTGTGCTTGTCGCCTCTGCCGCGAGCACGTGGGCGAGCCGTCGTCGCCATGCCATTTATGGCACTGCGACCGCGCGGGCCACGCCGTCGGTTAGCGTCGGCGCGTGGGCATCCTGGTCCCACCGCTCGCGTCCCGCCAAGGCGTGGACGAGCCGAGCCCACTATCGCGTCGTCTCTCTCTTTCCCTCTTTCTCCCTCTGTTTTCCGCCGCCGTCGCGTCGCGTCACGGTGAAGCTAGAGAGCGAGCACCTCTCATCAATTTCTCGTGCTCGCGTCTCCGCCTTCACGCCCCCTCTCTAGCCGACCCCGCCCCGCCTTGATTACGGCCAGGCCGAGCTCCAATTTTGGAGCTTTGCCCGCCGCCGTGCCGTTCAGGCCCGTCACCGCCCGCGCCATGGCCAGCCTCCACCACTTCACCCCCGCGCTAATTCCTCTGCACCACTAGCTCGCCTTGGCTCCCTCTTCATCGTGCGCACGCTAGTTGCAGCTCTAGCGCCGCCTCCTCGCCGTTGACGCGGCCGTGCCTTTACGGTCCGCCGTTCACCTCGCAGCGCGCACTTGGACAGGCTCGCTCGGGTCGTCTCCGGTCGAGCCGGCTTCTCGGTAAGGTCACTGGTGAGTTGTCGTTGCTCAACTCACCTGCTACCCCTACCTCCTTGTTGTTGCCGCGGCTCACCAGAACACCGTCGTCATTGCCGCAGGGTGCCCGCCGTCGTGGAGAGGTCCTTCTACGGCGTCCCGGCTCGTGCAACCGCCGCCCATCGTCTCGCGTCGAACCCTAGGTGAGCATCGGCCTCGTAGATAGGTCAGCGGGGGTCCTGTGTGGCCGACATAAGCGCCAGTCCCACCGCTCACCGCGCTGGAGCGCGTGGGGATGGCGGAGGACCTTGCCATTGTAAAGAGGAGAAAGATTTGAGGGTTTCATTGCAAAATTGTTGTCTATAGAAATAGTAACATGGACTGCAGGTTGTTTTGCTCATTGTTCAGGGGCGTTTTTGCAAGAGGGCCGGCGCGCGGGCTTCCTCGCCGCGGTCCGCCTCCGCGCGTGGGCCGCGCCTCGCCTATGGGCCGCCGCACGCTCCCGCACGCGTGTTGCGCCGCTTGGGCCGCGTTGGGCCGAATTGAGTTTATCTTTTTCGTGGAGAATAGAAATAGCTTTTTATTTTAATTCTGAGCTAAACTTTGGTAATTAATATAAAATCATGTAGGTATCCAAAAAATGTGAAACCAATTTTGTTAAGTTCCTAAAATTGTGCTCTATATGTTAGTATATTTAGTTGATATATATATTTGCTGATAACAGGAGCTATTAAATCATTTGAGAGTGCTTAATATTATTAGGTTAATTATTGTAGCAATTTTTGTGGAAGATTGGTGATACCAAAAACCCTGATATTTTTATAGCATCATCGTGGTATTATTATGTGTTCAATGTAATTTTTGTAGCTTTAGAATAGACTTAACATAAGGGTAGTTAAAAGCTCTTTGTTTCAAATATATAATAAATCATTAGTAGAAATAAAGATATATCCTCCATTTGTAAAGCTAGGTGTTTGAAACCAACACTTTACTTGATGAACATGATAGCTAGGTTAGTATTTTAGTCATTAGAGTTAGCATAGTAGCTTGGTAGATGTATTATTATTTTAAGAATTGCTGTTGTCGTAATACTAAGTGTCGTATCATCATCGCATGCATGTAGAGAACAAGTTGGCGGAGATCGTGACTATCGGAGATTACGAGTTCGAGGAGGTGATCGAGGAGTACGGGGAGGAGATCCTCGTACAAGAGGAGGTTCCAGAGCCACCACTGACTGACTGAGCTAACACCCCGCCTGCCCAAGGCAAGCCCCGGTGCATAACCCTTATTTTGAATAATTACTGGATATATATATGATGTGCATTTACGTTATAGGTTTATTATTGAAACTATATGCATAGATATATCTACCTATGAGTCCTATTAGCTTAGGTTATCGATAGCATGAGTATCCTACCATTACTCACAATAAGTGATTATTTTTATCACTCTAATAATAAAATTGTGAAAAGGAAATGGAGACCGGGCAGGGATATGGTACGGATATTGGTGGGTGTAAGAGGTTGTGTCCCGCGGCTAACGGGGCATAGCTTGGTTACACTGTTTTTTCTGTCTGTGTCGGTTAAGGACCGGCCGTTGCATTGGATTCCAGTCAGGTCACAGATATATTATCCTGAGCAAATACTTGTTTATGGGAGCAGGGAAGGCTCGTTGCTCTCTTGTCATGGGTTTCGGCTCTTTCCGGACCGA